TTCTGTCATCATGGTCCTTCTTGTCATCATGGCCCTTCTTGATTCATGGCCCTTCTTGTCATCATGGCCCTTCTTGTCATCATTGCCCTTCTTGTCATCATGGCCCTTCTTGTCATCATGGCCGTCATTGACTTTACCATCGCCATTGGGCTTTTCTTTGCCCTCGGCTTCGACGGTGCGCTTCTTGACTATGGCGGCCCTAATGACTGCATTATAGGACATGTTGGACGAGCCAGAAGAAGCATTACTACGAGATGAAGTGATGAGCATGGAGGCCGTCGAGCGGGGAACCGGGTCGGCGGCTCGAGTGGAAGAGACCGTGGCGTTGGAAACCAGGCGTCCGGTTGAGAGTTGGGGTAGGGCCCAAACACATGCTGCCTGCACGAAGGTATCAGCGGGCTCATCCACACCTGATGTCAAGAGGGTAGGTTGGTGCGGTTGCATAATATCGAAGGATACAACAAGAGACGAAGAGAATAAATTTAACATACCAGTGCGGCACTGACCACAACGGCCGGAGATTTCATTGTTAGGAGTAAACTGTTATGAGTAAAGAGGGGATAGAAAGTAAGAGCGACGACGGAATGGTTTGCAGTTTCGTGACGACGAAAAGCGACGACCAGAGAAAGAGAAGAGAGAAACTCGAGCAGCAAAAGGCCGACATATTATACCCCAAGTTTCCGAAGCTGTGCTCCGCACCAATATCAGGCAACTGGCATGCTTGCGCGTGTCTAGACCATTGACAATGTACTCTAGGCGTCATCATCCGATGTTTGGTGTTGCTCGTGATGACGAGGTAGAGTCGCCACTTGTCATCGAGTTGTCATTCAAGTCTCAAAAGGGAAAGCGTAGCGTGTATTGTGGAGAGAACATAAATGGCTGGGCGGGACTTGACGACAGCTTGATCTGATGTTTAACTTGCGTGTAAATCTAGACCGTGGCCAGTCCGAACACGGGCTAGCGTATCGTTGAAAACATCCCCTCTGCACTCCGATCTGCGATGCTTTGGGGCAACCAACCGTTCAACCGCGCGGGTCATCGATCTGCCCTTGGGGCACATTCGGCCGTTTTCCTCGAGCCGACTGATGCTGGGACATGCTCTCGGGGGCCAACACACCGCCGCGTGCCGCTTGGACGACTTGAATTCGGCTTCCTGTTCGATCATCAAGCGATTCCCCCGCAGAAAAAAAAAATGACAATAGTTTCTCCAACCCCCTATACCCAGACCGCCGAACCCCGTAAGATGCTCGCTGTTGTACCTTGATGACAAACTAACGTCTGTTTTAACCACAAGCCTCGACGCAAAACTCCATCCCTTAATCTTCAGGAACACCTGAGAACAGCCCGACACGCATACGGTGGCTCTATTGGTAGGCATTAGACGCTATCCGCGGGGGGGAGTGGATGGGCGGGGATAGACTCACAAAAGGCAGTTTGGGTATGATGACCGCCAGAACCGCAAGAAAATTGATGGTAAAGTACGTCAGGTCGTAATGGGTGTAGTGCGTGCTCAAGAGGAAGAGCACGATGGGGACACTCAGCAAAAATTTCTTGGCGGGCGTGTACTGGGCCCCGTCATCGATCTGCTCCCACATGTTGAGGTTGTCGTAAGCCCCGCCGTTGAACTCGAACGGTACCCCACGGACGTAGTGGAACATGAGGTACGAGCCAAACATGTATGTAATGTTGGTCAGTGTCCATGACGTTTCTTGGGAGACGCCGGGAATGATGTCGTAGAAGATCTTGAGGCAGGCGATCAGCACCGGGTGGATGGTCCAAGCACCTGTCAGGTATGAGTGTTAGTCGGCCGTGGTCTCTTCGCCCTGCGTATTGCGCTGCAGGGGGTACTTTGCTTGGGCACGCGAGGCGTATTGCCGGCAGCTCGGATCATAGCGTACCTTTTGCGTTGACCCAGTTCGCGTTCAGATTTGGTAGCGCAGACTGGTCGCTGAGCTGCTCAATGGGCTCGGGGGGCTCGTGGTAGACCTGAAGAATGCTACTAGATCTCCTCCTCCTACCGCTCTTGTCCGCCATCCTGCCGTGCGTGGCCCCACGGCGCGGAGGATTCGTGCTCGCGTCGTAGGAGACGGTCCGAGAGAGAAGTATAGGGGACGACAGCTTGACGGTGTTGAATCGCCGCGAGGTGCGACGCTCGGGCGAATAGGCGCAACGGGTAGTTCGGGGTTCGGAACGGATGCAGGCAAGCTCGGTCGAAATCGAGCACAAAGTCACACAACAGTGGTTGATGAGGACAATGGGTTTGCTGTTGGCGAGATGATGTCACACTTGTTGTGATGTCCGCAACATTCGAGTCGCCAAGTAACTTTTTGTATTCGGGAGCAGAGCTCGCACGATTTGCCAGAGCGCAAAATCTTGGGGGATGGCTCCAACAGGGGGTACCAAACGGTACGCGATGACGACGGCGCCAACGATGGGTATGGACAGTAGTCGGAGTCGGTGGCACGGCCGGCGGTGGGTTGAGTGGGCGTGACCGATTGGACAACCAGCACGCGGTGCCGCTGGCTTGCCGCGCCAGGAGGATGGCCCGGATGGTCGGTGCTAAACGAGAGATGGCGATGGAGAAGCTGCTCGCAGCAACGTTAATGGCACCCGCTTCAAGAATCCAAATTCTAGACGCGCAAGCGGCAGGCAGAAGAGAAGAAAGAGGGTAGTGGAAACCTTGGGAGCTGGGTGCAGGTGGCAATCTGGCCAGAACCCGAGAAAGGTGCACGAAGATGAGAACCCGGGTACCTCCACTCTGGCGTGTCGCCGGAGATTGAAGAGGAGCGGGCTGCTATTCGAACATCGGACACTAACATTTCAGCTAATACTGACATGCACAGATTACGTCTGGTAACGTAAATACACATATTGTGTATTGGTATGTGCTTGCATTATTCCCGTTCGTATTTCAGCTAAGGGGGTCGCGAGAGAGAGTGCCCGGTGGGGGGAAACCGTGGCTTGGCTTTGAGTCTCCACATCAAAAATTACAGGGAGCAGCGCAACTTTCCATCGAAAGGGCCAAGCTGAGAACGGCTATCGGGGGAGCATCTACGCCAGAGCAACCTCGAGAAGTCTATCCGATTCGGAACCTTCCATCTCCGCCACCACCTTTTGTTGATAGGACGAAGGTAATATTGCCTGTAATCCTGAGACAAATGTCGACAACTGCGACTGGTTGCTCTATACTAGGCCAAGGCTTGTGGCTGGAATCCTGAGAATGATCGATGGATAACGCCGTTCAACTGCCCCGAGGATGTAGACGACTCCTCGCCGCGGCTTATGGCCTGGAAAAAAAGCGCCCAGGCCTTCGGTTTTGATCCCGAGAGCCACGGGGATGGTGTTGGTATCTTGTAAGGGGCTAGTGGAAGAATGTTAGCCCCCCCGTCCTCCGAAAAGACTGAAGGTCAAGCGAATTGTTTGGACGAAGCTTGAGATGGCCAACCCGACGGTGTCGTCGGGATCCAAGCCATTAATGACGGATTCTATCACCGGCCAGGCCCCTTCTTCAAGGGCGCACGGTGGATGGAATCGTGGTATCAACAGCGGCTTGCGGACTTCATTTGCGGGCAAAGACAACCTTCGAAAACTCGCTCGTCCAAAGAGACTTCACGATCCTTCGCGCAACCGCCTGCCGAGCCGATGGACGTCGACAGTTTGGCTATGCCCGCGGCAGACACCAACCTCTCCGGGCTCGGCGGCGGCGGTGCATGGCAGGCTGGGATTTGCGAAATGGTGTGTCCGATTGATGGCATTGAACAAAGACCGGGACGATTTGAGAGATAACCCAGCTCTCTTGAGGGGGGCTTGGGGCTTATGGTTAGAGACACGGACATCCTTGTCACAAGCCCACAGCACTGCCGCTATGCAAGCAGCCAAAGAGGCGAGGCTAGACGCGGAAGAGCTTCAGTCCATGTCCTTGAAAGCTTTGGAAGTCGATATCGAAGAGCCGTGGAATGATTCTCCAGCGAAACTCGGGCAGTCTGAGAACGCGGTGTCAGAGCAACAAAGCAACGACCAGTCCGCCGGCAACACGCCCGCGTCCCTTGGGAGTCAGGAAGCAAACGACTGGGTCTTTCCACCAACCCCGTCGTGTTCTGACTTTGAAATCGGACGGAAAGATCAACGTGCTTGGGAGGAGAGGTTCATGGCATGGTGCAAGTCACTTATTCAGCTGAACGAGTGCAAGATCAAGGTTGGCACAGACCGGGAACGAAATCGGCTGACGGGTGCATATGTGAAATGGGTCGGGACCATCGAAGGGCTGACAAAGACGAAAGCGGCCACTGCTCGCCGGGCAGCAATTCAGTACGCTCAAGATAACAGCGCTCTAGTCGTGGCTCTATTCGCTAGCCCTGCCGCCCCGGCGACAAGCTTCAAACCAGCGACGCAGTTTCGCCGCCACCGAAAGACTCGGCACCTTCTCCGATGACCGCCCTTTCTAACGGGCTCGACAAAGAGTCCAACGATGGGAGTGGGTGGCCCGCTGGGGCAAGGAAGATGCAGAATACCGCGAGAAGTATTTCCGAGGATCAGTCCCGACGCGACTTTCTGCCACGCGTGCGCGTCCCGCGACACGGCACATTTTGATTGCCTAAAGACAACGTGTCGCTTCTGCCACA